TCATTTCCAAGTGCATCCGGGATCTTCTGTGAATTGTCTTTTCCTTAGCTAGTGAGGTTTATGATTTTTAAACATGGTGTTTGTTATAGGAACAGTGTTTTCTCCTTGACCTCCAGAATTCCCCGGCCTCAGAATTCCGAGGGTGAACATTTGGTAGGAGACTCTGCTTCCAGGCTTGTTTTTCAAAAAGGTGATGGACAGCATGCTGCCGTCCAGCCGCAGCCCTGGCCTCCCTTGAGGCCATTCTGTCGGCCCGATGTTACCAGCAGCATGTGCTCTGAGCCCCCGCCACCCTGGTGCTGGGCAGCAGAAGCCCGGCCACTTCCCCTACGCGTGAGCCTTGCGGGGTCTGCCTAAAGGAGCTTGGTAAAGTGCAGAAAACAAACCAGGAATTTCATGGTGCTCATGGGAGCCCCTGGCACTGTGACCCTGTCTGGTCCTAGAGCACCCTGTTTTCTTAATTAGCGAGTAAGACAGGGTGACATTGAGATGATCTGAAACATGATTTGCCAGAATGTTCTCTTGTTGTATTAACCAGAACCATCAGAATCTTGAAGAAAATATCCCTGGCCCACTTGTTGAAGGGTCAGAGTGTTTGCTCTGCAGACTGCCTGGCGGCCTGAGGGGGCTGGAACGTGGCCTCCGCTGCAGGGAGGACGGCGTGCGGGTCGGGGGCGCTCCCTGTGGACTGGTGGGCTCCGCCCGTGTCCCACCGGACGTCCTTCCCCTCCACGCCGCGGCCGGGTCCCCCGCCTGTGGGCTGATGGAGTTGGGCTCCGGGAAGAGAGCCGGACTCGGACAAGCCTGTCCAGACCCGGTTCACCTGGTTCTGAAGCCACCCGGGCTCGCAGGGGCTTTTCCCAAGTGCTGGTTCCGGACGCAGGGCTGGGCTGTGGGTGCAGGTGGTGAGCGCAGGGACAGGGCGGCAGGCTCACCTCGGGAGGAGGCTGGCTAGGTGGGTGGGGCCCTGGATGCCTGAGGGGCCGTTTCAGCCGAATCTCCAACAGGGGGAGGTTTCCAGCCGATCAGTGGCAGGATCACAGGGACTGGGGGCTGAGACTGTGGCAGGGCGCTCCCCACTGCCCCGTCCGCCTCTCCCCAGGGCTGCAGGAGGCCATGAGAAGCTGGTGTCTGTGCCCCTCCTGTCCCAGCATAAGCCCCCACACACGAGGCCTGCTCGTGGGGCCCGTCTCCTGCCGAGCAGCCTTGCCAGTTCCCTGGCTTCCTTCTCCTCCCAAGTCGCCTGAAGCCTGGGGAGGCAGGAGAGGAGGGTGTGCAGCCCGGCCAAGTGCGTGGCGGCTGGATGGCCTGGTCTGGGTCAGGCCCCCCTGCTGAGCTGGCTCTGAAATGGCCCTGACGCCGTGGCTGACCGTTGTGGTCTTCAGGAGCCCCGCCTGGGTGCTTCCAGGGGGTTGCCAGGGATGACCTCTGTGGTCATCAGGAGCCCCACCCTGGGGGCTTCCCGGGGGGTGCCATGGCTGACCTCTGTGGTCATCAGGAGCCCCGCCCTGGGGGCTTCCCAGGGACACTGGGGATGACCGCTGTGGTCATCAGGAGCCCCACCCTGGGGGCTTCCCGGGGGGCGCCATAGCTGACCGCTGTGGTCATCAGGATTCCCACCCTGGGGCTTCCCAGGGACACGTCCTTGGTCCCTGGAGAGTGCTGCATGCTCCTGCCTCCCCCTGGGCTTGTTGTGAAACGGCCGGTCTGTGTGGCTGGTTCCACACCAGTCGGGAAGACCCCGATTGTAGGTGCCGGATCCCAAAGATGAGGGAGACCCCCGTCCCGAGGGGGCCCCTGCTGTGGGCCCTGTGACGTGTGAGCGTCCGCTGCTTCCTGGTCTCTCCCCGCTCTGGGCAGCTGACGGTGATATTTATTGTTCAGGTTAAGCTTCATTAAAGCAGAAGCCCACTTTCCATTAGGATATGAAATTTTTATTTATTAAATTGCTATTTTAGTGTAATTTACCAAGTCATTGAAGACAAACAATCCACTTAAGAGAAGCTGTAAACCTCCGTTTTCCCCGAACGCTCTGTTCCCGTGAACGCGTGGCTCACGCTCCGCTCTGCTCGCCAGCTTGGGAAACCTCGTGGCGGCAGTTCCCCGCCGTGTTGGCACCGGGGACTGATTCCGTGGAAGACGGTTTTTCCACGGACCAGGTGGGTGGCTTTGGGATGATTCAAGCGCGTGGCGTTTATTGCGCACTTGAACCTGGAGCCGCTGCTGATTGACTGAAGGTACAGACCCACAGCCCGGAGCTGGGGACCCCTGTCTTAGAGGACGCAGAATCTGCAGCCCACCTCCTGAACTCCGAGAGAGGGTGGGTCTGGGGGCTGGCCTAAGGCTGACCTCTGCACTCCCAGGACAAAGTAAAGGCTATTAACCAAGTTAGCAGGCCCCTCTGTCACAGGATACACCAAAGGATGCTGGTGTATTTTTAAGGGAGAGAGGCGACTATAGACCAGAAGTCTCGAGAAAATGTAAATCGAGCGAGGTAAGGAGCAGTGGCGAGGCGCTCACCCCGGGCTCCTGGCAGGTGATTCCCAGGCCTTCTGCCCGGCGGCGGAGGGCCCCAGGCAGGAGACTCACCTGGAGCCTGTCCAGGGCTGAGCAGGCGCTGACGCTGGCCTTCGTCGGCCGCGGCGGTGGCCGTTAGGGGAGAAGGAAGGAAAGCTCCTCCCCTCAGAGCCTCTGAGCGCAGCCCCACCCTCGCACGGATTTGCAGTCCCAGTTCATCGCGCTTACTCGTCTACAGTATTTCAAGCTGAAGATTTATTTGAAACCAGTCTTGGGATAATAGCGAGGGCCTTTAGCTTCTGGCAGAAGCAAATACGAATTTTTTTTTTCCTTCCCTAAAGAAAATCATTCTCGATGCATATCTCAAAGACTTCCAACAGATAGAAGTTCCAAAGAACATGTCGACAAAAAAATGAGTGAATAGTCAATCTAAGAAAAAAGGGGCTTCCCAGGTGGTGCTCGTGGTAAAGAACCCCCCTGCCAATGCAGGAGACGTAAGAGATAAGGGTTTGATCCCTGGGTTAGGAAGATCACCTGGAGGAGGAAATGGCAACCCACTCCAGTATTCTTGCCCAGAAAATTCCATGGACAGAGGAGCCTGGTGGGCTATAGTTTGTGGGGTTGCAAGGTCAGACATGACTGAAGCAACTTACCATGCATGCTAAGAAAGATGTGGAGACTTTTATTCAGGCCCACCTGAGGATAATAACCTGGGAGACAGTCTTTCAGAAAGCTCTGAGGACTATTCCTCCCAATAGAAGCTAACGCACAGGAATATATTAGATACTTGAGAGAAGCATTTATACATCAGATGACAGATCGACAGTTTACCTACTCCAGGTCTGCGCGCATGGCAAGTAGTAGGTCATCCTGACCCCTTACAGGGTTAAGGCCTGTTGTCTCCTGAGGAGGCATCTTGCTGGTGCCGGGAGAAAGTTGCTGTTAGGGGGAGCAGGCGGCTGTGTCTCCTGAGAGGTCTGATTCATGTGTCAATGCACAGCGCACGCCAGTAAGGACTAGTGACCCAGACAGAATTTTATGTTAAACACTTTTCGTCCTGCCTTAACAATAGATTTATTTCATCAAACACAAGCTCCAAGCGGGGGAATCACTAAAGTCCGAGGAGGCAGGCTACCAAAAGCGAGACTCAGCAGAGAGAACAGGCTGCAGAAAGCGCGCCGCAGAGACCGCAGAGTTCAGAGGTCACCTGTGATGTGCTGGGAGTTAAGGTCAACGTGCTCGAAGTGATGAAAGAGAGACATCGTGATCGAGAAAGGAGGAGGAGAGGGAAACGCACAATTTACAAAGCCGCTGTGAGAAGCCATGCACGTTTCAGATGTAACGGATGAGCCGGACAGGAGTTGTGATCCAGTTGAAGAGACAACTAGTGAACTGGAAGACAGAGTTGAAGAAAGTGCATCTCCTGGAGGGACGAGAGGTGGAGCTTATGAACAGAGAGGTTGGGTGAAGTGGGAAAAGGCCTCACACCCACCTCACCAAGGTTCTGGGGAAATACAGCGAGCTCACGACATCTGCATGGGCGCATGAGTGACGGTTTTCCAAAACTGCTGGACGCTCCGCACGCTCAGGATAGCTCAAGCAGAACAAATATCACAAGGAAAACTCAGAACATCCAAGACAAACAGGGTATCTCAGAAGCAGCCGGAAAGAGGGCCTTGGTTTCCTACTGGGGAATGCGGCCCAGGACCCTGGGGAGTGAGATGAGCCGGCCTGGGGCCCAGGACAGCCGTCCTGACCTCCTCGCTGGGTCTGGGACCTGCCAGGCAGCCTGGAGCCTCGGGGCCCTTGCCTTCCTCCCCCAGCCTGATGTCTGCACGGATGGCCCTCTTTGGGTCTCCATTTGAATGTCACGTTAGGCGACTGAGCACTGTATTTAACGCGCCAGCCTCTCCCTGAGTGCCCCTGGTGTTTCCCATCCTTCTCTTACGTGATGTAGATTTTATTTTATTTTTTTGACTTCGTAAACAATTGTCACACAGTTCAGGTGGCACCCAGGGGACCCTAGCTGCAAATGCTGGTGGCGTTTGTCTGAACTGAGGCAGCGGCTGAGGAGGGGTCCAGGTGACCACGCGGGAGGGGCCTGCAGCGTTCCTGCCACCCACACTTGCCGTCAGCGTCGTGGCCAGGCAGTGCCCGGGCGGGGTGCCTGCTCCTCTGCCTGCCTCCTGGCCGGGGCCAAGACATCAGCCTCTGTGGGGAAAGCGGGGGCCCCCCTCCCACAGGGCTGCATGGAGTGGGGGCCCCTCAGATCGGCCTTCTATCATCACTGCCCGTCATCCGTGCAGGAAAGTCACGGGGCCTGCTTGCCCTGCACGTCCGCTGTGTCTGGCTGCCGATCAGAGCGAAAACCGTCTTGTTTTAATGAGACGAGAGTCAGGAGCGAAGGCCTTGCGTACCGCCGCGCCGGCTGGCTGGTTGTGTTCCCCGCCGGCCCTGACCTTCTCCACTGTTCTGTCTTGCAGTCGGAACCCGAGGGCTTCGCCAATTTCCACCTGTACGTGTGTGCTGCTTTTCTCGTGAGATGGAGGAAAGAAATACTGGAAGAAAGAGATTTTCAAGTAAGTAAATGCCTTTTCAGGAAGACCCCAGGTGTGATCCCCTGCTGGGGGAGAGAGGGGAGTTAGCTTTAGTTCTCAGGGTTGTTTTCAGAGGAGCTTTGAGACATGCCGCCTGTGGTCAGCGCTGACCTGCAGGCTGAGACCCTGCCGCCGGGGTCGTAGGTCACGGGGGGCCTGGGCTGTGTCCACACCAGCTTGCTAAGCTTGCTGTCACAGGCTCCCCAGAGACACCCCCTGGGCCGCTGCTGTGCCCCAGGGGCCTGGGGGCCCCTGGGAGCCTTGTGATGGTTGCGGGGAGTGGGGCGTTAGGGAAGGGGTGGGCACGTCATCAAACAGCCTGGCTGCCCGGCACTTCGGCGCTGTGTGGCCCCAGGCTGGTTGCTTAGCCTCTCTGATCCACATTTCCGCAGCGGCTCAGTCCCCGTTCATTAGAGGCTCTGTGCTCCCTCGACCCAGGGGCTCCAGGCGGGCCGAGTGCCTGCCCGTCCTCGCCCCAAAGAGTGCCCGTGTGGTCATGTGTGGCGTTGACCCCCGGAGGGGCCGGGCTATCTGGGGTGTGATGAGGAGATCCCCGTGGTCAGGCCCTGCGCCCTCCGGCCCCTTCACCTCCTTGAGCCCCTCTTCTTCCAACTGAGGGAGGGAAGGAGGCCCCGCTGTCGCGGGTGGCAGCGTGGTGACAGCAGACCTGTGCCCCTCAGCCCCCTGCTTGTCAGACACCCCGCGGGCCCTGCTTGTCCCTCTGGGGGCCGTGGGGAAGACCCAGCCAGCCCCCCCTCCCCGCCCCCACTGCCCAGGCCTTCCACCCCGGCCACCGGGAGACACTGGGCAGGGAGGGCCTCTGCCCGGCCCGCAGAACCCGGGGCCCAGCCCGCCCTGCCTCCAAGTGGTCAGCAGGACGAGGTCACTTTTCCCACTCCGCTCGGGCATGTGGGGGTGTAGAGAGAGGCAGGCGCCGGCCCAGGTGACCCAAGTGTGGGGAGTGGATGCAGGCCGCTGGTCCAGGCTCCCCAGGGGCCATCGTCCATGCTGGCATGGGAGAGACTGCCGGCCGGCTGGATCATTCACATGAAGGGAGAAGGGCCAGCTTCCCTGGTGGTGGCGGCCAGTGTCGATGCCTGCGGCCAGCCGGCACTTGCCTGGCCGACAGGTGACGCAGGAGCCTGGGTCCCTGGCTGACGCTGTCTCAGGGGTTCCTGCCTCGGTTTTGCTGGGGCCTCTGACTGGGGAACGGTTCCGGGAGGCCCCAGGCAAACGTTGCTCCCTCCCCGCTGCCCTGGGGCCCGCCTGGTGGGGGGAGGCGGGTAGGAAAGAGCAGGGGGCCGTGAGAGCGCCTGAGAGTGCCTGAGCTCAAGGCCCGTCCTCGAGACAACTTGAGACCCCAGCGCTGGGCGGCCACTGAGCCTCGCGGGCCAGAGAAATGGCTGAGTTCTGGCTGGGGACAGGGGCCTGGAACCACACCGAGCGACCTCACACAGGCGCCTTGCCCCTCTGCCCGCAGTTTCTGCCACCTGCTTCCCAAACAGAGGCAGTGCTGTCAGGGCCCAAGGCCTCCAGGAGCTGCTCTGGGCGGGAGGAGGTGCCCAGCAGGACGGCGTCCGGCCCTGTTGTCCTGTTATGACTGGAGGGCGCCACGCGGGCGGCTGGTGGGGACTCTTTGCAGCCTCTCAGGGCGCTGCTCACCTGCCTTGGGGTTCACCGGGGCCAGGGGACCGGCACAGCCTGGCAGCTGGTGCGGCCACAACTCTGAGGAGCGGCAAGAGTCGCTCCCCCCCCAACTCAGGTTAGACTCAGGCCTGGCTGTCGTGGGGATGGATGGGGCCAGGCTGTGAACGCTCAGTGTGATGTGGGGAATTGAACTAAGTGGGAAAGGCAAGGAGAAGAGAAAACAAATTAAATAAAGCACCTCTGGGGCCCTGGTGGGCACAGGGCAATCGTGTGTGCGGTTGTGACATTTCAGGAAAATGATTCTGCATCCACGGGAGGCGGCCTGGGTGTCCAGCTGCAGAAATACCTGGAGAAGGCTCCAAGAGCCTCCCTCTGTGTAGATCTGTGGTTTGCCGCTGTGTCATCTCTGGGACTAGTGACTTCCCGAGGGGCATCTTGAGGAGGAAGGCCCAGCAGTGCAGGCGCTGGGGAGTGGGGCATGGGCGTGGCTCCTGCATCCAGTTTTCAGAAGCTCAGTGAAGTTGGTCCGGGCCAGCGGTCTGGTTGCGTCCAGTTCCATGAACCTCCATGAGGGCTGCTGGGTGCCCTAGCTGGAGGGAGGTCCCTTGCAGAGTGGACGGTCACCCCTGTCCTGAGCTCTGGTCCCGGAGCTTGCTGTGCCATCCGTCGTGCAGGGGACCGCATCCCACCTCAGTCTGCACACGGCCCTCAGACTGCACGCTGGGCGTCCAGAACCGCCTCCTCCCCCCACCCGCATCCTGCCTCCCACCCCCTAGCGCCAGGGAGGTCCGAGCCTGCGCTGAGGGCCTGATTCTCCCCCCGCCTGCCTTTCTCTGACCAGATTCTGTAAGGTCTTTTCGGGGAGGAGCCTCCCCACGTCCAGTCTTGTGTCCCCTGGAGGTGTGCCTGGCACGCTGACCTCATCCCAGCCCCTGTGGGGTGTTTCAGGGTGGGACTCGGGGCCCAGGGCGGGTGGGTGGCCTAGGCCCCCCCTACCCCCCAGGCACACGTGGCCGAAGTCACCCTTGGAGGTCAGGGCACCTCCTCTCCCACGGGGACACGGGCAGACTGTGGGCTGGTGCTGCCCGCTTCTTGGCTGGCTCGTAGGCGCAGCTTATGGAGCAGCTGACATCAAGCCTTCCCAGGAGGTCATTCTGTTTTATCCAGAAGCCTGGGCAGCTTAGTTTGGCCTTCCAGGACGTGGGGTCGGGGCTGGAGGTGTGACTGCAGCCCCCGTGCAGGGCTGGGTGGCCCTGGCCTTGCTGTTGGGGGGCTGTGGGGGCGGAGCACCCAGGCGGGTGGTCCCTGCTGCCCGGCCATCTCTGGGGTGTGTGACCCGGCAGTGTGGGAGCAGAGATGCTCTGTGACCTCGGAAGCTTCTCCCACGGAAGCTGGCATCATGCTCTCGACGTGGAGGAGGGCACGTCCCTTAGGCGCGCAAGGCGGCCACACGCTCACCTTGCTTTTCTTCAGTGGGGAGAGTAATTAACGTGCAGTGAACAGAGCATGGAGCTTCCACAGAAATCACGGACCTTCTCCCTGCGGCCCTCGGGAGCTCCGAGGTCTGTAAACGTTTCGGGTAAGGTCATCGGTGGCTGCGTGTTTGTTTACGAGTGACCCGCCTCGTGGGCAGAAACGGCTCCCTGCGCGTGCGTGGTGTCTGCAGCCGCCCGAGGCTGTGAGCGAGGGCAGGGCCCAGTCCGGAAACCCCGGTCGGCCCGCGGGGGCTTGGTGCGTGCACGATGGCCGCTGTGTCCCCGCGCCCCGCGTCCCTGCGGTGGGGCCTCTGCTTGCCTGGGCCCTTCTCGTCTCCTGTGACCGCTGCTCAGCGGGGCCCGAGTGGGGACGGGCAAGGGCGGCGCTGTGGGGGGCGTCTGTCTGCTCTCATGTCCCCACCGGCCCCCCCATCCTGTGCTTCTGTATCAGGACTCCTCAGCCCGTGGGGGCCAGGCGGGCCCGGGTGGACGGGGCCTGGCCGGGGACGGGAGGAAACCGAGGATCCGCGGGCCGGGTACCCGCCTGCTCCGAAAGGGAAGTGTGTGGGTGAGGTTGGGGCTGCGTGTGCCGTTCAGGGTGGGGTGCTGGTCAGATGAGCCTGAGGAGGATTGAGGGGGTGCCCCGCCCGCCTTTGCCCCCCCGCCCCCCGTAGCCCTTCCCTCTGCCCTCAAGCCAGGGAGCGGATGCAACGGGAAGGTTCCGGAAGGTTTTCCCGCCCTCTGTCCCCCGGGGCCCGGCTGTCCAGTGCGTCCGGCCACCTGGTGGAAACGGAGGTGCCCTTGCCATCTGGCGGGACGTTCGCGAGCCTCCTCTCAGCTCACGCACTTCTGTCTCATCTGCGTTCGGGGCTCCATCCCCTCCCAGACGAGTCCCCCTGCATCTTGGCCTTGGTGCCCTAGGGCCCCCGATGCATAGTTAGCTCCCGGCCTGGTCTCTTTTCCTGGATGGTAGGAACGGCCGTGGGGCAGGGTGGGCAGCACTAACTGCCCGCTGAGCGGCCTTCCACGGGTTAATGCTGAGGGCCTGATTCTCCCCCCGCCTGCCTTTCTCTGACCAGATTCTGTAAGGTCTTTTCGGGGAGGAGCCTCCCCACGTCCAGTCTTGTGTCCCCTGGAGGTGTGCCTGGCACGCTGACCTCATCCCAGCCCCTGTGGGGTGTTTCAGGGTGGGACTCGGGGCCCAGGGCGGGTGGGTGGCCTAGGCCCCCCCCACCCCCCAGGCACACGTGGCCGAAGTCACCCTTGGAGGTCAGGGCACCTCCTCTCCCACGGGGACACGGGCAGACTGTGGGCTGGTGCTGCCCGCTTCTTGGCTGGCTCGTAGGCGCAGCTTATGGAGCAGCTGACATCAAGCCTTCCCAGGAGGTCATTCTGTTTTATCCAGAAGCCTGGGCAGCTTAGTTTGGCCTTCCAGGACGTGGGGTCGGGGCTGGAGGTGTGACTGCAGCCCCCGTGCAGGGCTGGGTAGCCCTGGCCTTGCTGTTGGGGGGCTGTGGGGGCGGAGCACCCAGGCGGGTGGTCCCTGCTGCCCGGCCATCTCTGGGGTGTGTGACCCGGCAGTGTGGGAGCAGAGATGCTCTGTGACCTCGGAAGCTTCTCCCACGGAAGCTGGCATCATGCTCTCGACGTGGAGGAGGGCACGTCCCTTAGGCGCGCAAGGCGGCCACACGCTCACCTTGCTTTTCTTCAGTGGGGAGAGTAATTAACGTGCAGTGAACAGAGCATGGAGCTTCCACAGAAATCACGGACCTTCTCCCTGCGGCCCTCGGGAGCTCCGAGGTCTGTAAACGTTTCGGGTAAGGTCATCGGTGGCTGCGTGTTTGTTTACGAGTGACCCGC